GTGATGAAACTTAACACCGCCTTGTGTAGCCTCATGTGCGATATTGTGTGTTTGAACAGTTTTACACGTGCGAAGCTGATTTTGGCAATTGCCCAATTTCGTGTTGCGCATGTTGTGAATTGCAGAACTCCGCTGAACTGAAGGCTCCAGTGTGTGGAAAAGAGTGTGAGATTTTTCACTGATGCAGCAGCCCAGCTTGGCAGTTCGTCCATTCCGTTCGACATTCTTCGCCGCAATCAGGATAACTTGCTGGACGACACGGTGTATGATGGGCTTCTTAAGTTAAGCTTGTCGGGTTGCATTGTTTTTGCCCACGGCTCCCCCCCTTGTAGTGAGTATTCACTCATTAAGCACTTAGGCCCGGGCCCTACTCCATGCAGGTCTTTCGAGCATGTGGACGGTTTGCCGTCCAATGACGCGGCGGCTCAGGCTCGGGTTGCTTCCAGTCACCTTCTTATGCGTCGCACAGTTTCCATCTTGCATGCGGTATATCAGTCGGGTGGGCATGTGTGTCTTGAGCAACCACGGAATTCCATCGCATGGGTGGAGCCGGTTGTGCAATCTTTCCTTTTGGACATCGCTGCTGATTTGGTGCAGGTTCCTGCATGCAAGTTTGGGGTAAACCTCAAGAAGCATTGGTTGCTGGCTACCAGTTGGCGTCCGTTGCAGCAGCTGCAAGGTGCTTGTGCACATGGTGCTGATTTTCATCCTTCATTTCATGCTAAGCGAGATGCTGCGGGTAATTTCCTCTCTCGCAATACCTCGGTGTTCCCGACACAGATGTGTGTCATGTACATGCGCGCAGTTTCTCCCCTGTTTTCCTGCCAGACGTCAGCTGAGGTAGCGTCTCCTTTATCGTGGCCCGAGGCGCTGGCGTCGCTGCCACCACGTCCTTTGGACGACTTTCCTGTTGCTCAACAGGACGGGGGAGGTATTTACAGTTGCCCCGATTGGACAAGTCCTCCTCCCGGCATGTCGGACATTTTTCGCAATTTGCGTGCGGAGCTTATGCAATTCTTTTCTGCCCGCGGCGTTTTCGATCGACTTCGCAAACATGTCGCAGAGTCTTCGCGCCAGCCTTTGTTCAACGAGGCGGAAGTTGCGGCCATGCGTGATTTGTGGGCATCATGGTTTCGTTCCCAAGGGTTTACAGAGGACATTTCTTGGGGTGTCCCTGAGGATCAGCCATACTGCTTGTTTGCCCTTGAGAAGCTTAGCCAGGCTTTGCATGATCGCGATAGTGCACTGTGGCCTGACCTGCAGGCCGGCGTTCCCACCGGTGTTGATGGCGACATATCGCTGAGCCGTTGTTTCCTTCCCAGCCCAGCTGATTTCGATCCTTCCTCCTTTGATGTGCAGATCTGCTCAGGCAATTGGCCGGGGGCTAATGAGGATCCCGACTTGTTGGATGCAATGGTTCAGCAAGAATTTGATGCCGGTTATCTTCACAGATGTGATTCATTGGAGGAGGCTCAAGCTAGATGGCCGCGGGTTGCTGTAGGCAAAGTAAATTCTCAATTAAAAGCCCCAATCGTAATCCGCGCCTGATTGTGGACCCTTCCATCTCTGGGGTCAATCCATCGTGTCACTTGCCAGAGCGGTTTCTGCTGCCGGGCCTTGGCGATGTTCGCTTGGCTTATCCCCTGCGGGGCTGCACTTCGGAGGTTGCGGCTGCGAGCCTAGACATTGCAGCCGCGCACACAACTGTGCACATTCGTTCCTCTGAACAGGGTTTACTGGGTTTTTGCGTACGGGGCAAGTATTATTTTTATAAAGTTGCGCCTTTCGGAGGGTCATTTTCCGCGTTATGGTGGCAGCGGGTTGCTGGCTTCTACGTGCGAGTCTGTCACCGGCTGGTGTATATCAGTCATGTTTTTCTGATGTATGTGGACGATGCGTTGTTGATACAGCGCAAGGAAGTCATCGAGTTTTCCACTCTGCTCATTTTATCGTTTTCCCAAGTTTTTGGGTATCCCATCAGTTGGCGCAAACTCCAACTTGGCCCTAGGATTGAGTACATCGGATGGTCTCTCAACTTTCGTGCTGGGTTTTACGAGCTGCTTCAAGCTAAGGTGGAGAAGTTTCTTCACGCCTTGACGCGGGTCGCGTCAGGCGACACTTGCACAAAGCAGGACTTGCAGCGGCTCATTGGCCTTATGCATTGGATCCTGCAGATTGCGCCTACGCTTTTGCCTTGGTTGTGCACTTTGTACCATGATCTTGCAAGGCCACTTGGTACGAACGTTTCTTTGCATGCGGGTGCATGGCAGCAGCTGCCGTCTTTTCTTGATGATGGCATGATTTTTCAGCGGACTCCACCAGGCACGAGTATTCGTGCTGGCAGTAAGCTTTTGAGTGTGCGTCATAAGGAAATCAGCTGCAAAGCTGATCTTAAGCTGGTTCGTTGCACGGGCAAACGTCTGTGGGCTCGGATTGCGGATCCCAGTACTTCTAAGCGTAAGGTTTCGCAAGGTAGCGTGTTTTTCATCCAGTTTTGGATGGCTTGGTGTTTGCGCCCGCAGATGCCAGCGTCCCTGGCTCTTCCTGCCATGGATTTTCAGTACAAGCTTGCAGCAGATGCTTTCGCCAAGGGCGAAGACATTGGCATCGGTGGCTGGATTCAGTTGCCTAATCAGCCATGCATTTGGTTCTCTGAGCGCTTCAAGGTGCATGAATTTCGTGCGTTGGGTCTGCCGATGCAAACCTTGACATCACGTCTTATGAGACGTTGGCTCAGCTGGCTCTTGTTGTTTGCTTCGCTTCTTTTACACCAGGTGGCAGATTGCGGGTTCGCATAGCTAGTTGGAGTGACAACAGTGGCACGGAAAGTGTCGCGAACAAGTTGTTTACTGTTCGCTCGCCCATCTGTTACTTTGCACAGCGGTTGGCTACATTGGCGTGGAGGAGTGGCATCACTCTTGATTGCAGTCATATTGCAGGCTGCCACAATGACTCAGCTGATTGGCTGAGCAGATGGGATGGCGACGTTTCTAAGCTTCCAGAGGCATGGTGCTTGGACTATCGTGTCAATTGCTCCCTGCCCGTCATTTGGGACGGCGAACGTGATGTTCGTGTTTTTCCTGATGCAACTGCATTGCAGTGGAATACACCACAGTCCTCTTTGCGTTAGCTTCGTGCAGAGCTGCACTGGTTTGCCTTTTGGCTTGGAGTCTACGTGTGTGCGTGCGACATCAGGTGGGTTCGACTCTCACGGTGCGCGGTCGGCTTGCCTTCCCCCGTGAGCTCGGGCGTTCTCACATTACTGGTGCTCGTACGCAGCATCACCGGGGTTGTGCTTCCCTGCGGTGCGCGGTCGGCTTGCCTTCCCCCGCAGGTGTTGGCTTTCCCCATTTGGTGGTGTTTGCTGCGGCATCGTCGGAGTCTCGCTTCCCTGCGGTGCGCGGTTGGCAAAGCCTTCCCCCGTGGGTGCTGGCATTCTCCTGATGGCGGTGCATCGGAACAAGCGTCATGAGTTCGGTGCGTTTGCACTCTGAGGCGCTGCGAGGCGTCGTAGCTGGTAGCTTCCACTTCTTAGTTGTTCGGTCGTCGGGCTGTCTCTCAGACTGAGGTGCTGCTGCTGTTTGCGCTCTGACTTGTATATGATATAGCCATATTGCGTCTGGTCTTAGGCTCTGTTGGGCTTTCGTTCCTCTTTGGATTTCAGCAGAAGCAGTCGGTCTCACGTTTGGTTCTGGTGAGAAAGCTGAAGGGCGAGGCCGACTACTTCTTTTGGCAGCTATAGTATTGGTGACTTAACACCTCTGGCTGTGCATGACAAGTCTGACTGCTCGATGTGTCTTTCCGCCAAAAGAAGTGTGACCTCGCTTGGTAGTCTGTAGCTGTTGTGTACACACTGTGGAGTAAAGCTTAGGTGAGAGTGCTTCGTGGCTAGATGAAATGTAGAACGGTATTTGTGCTTGCTCAAAAGTGTTGTACATTTCTTTCGTAGCTCGCGCATTGATTCCTTGTTCATACATCTAGCCACGAAGCTGCTCGAACGGAAAAGGGTTTCTCAAAAAATTCCCCACCCGCCCACCCTTGTGGTGTTCTGCGGGAACACTCTCGCTGTATCGCCAATTGTGCGATGTCCATAAGAATGCACATACGCGGTGGCATACATGGATGTGCGTCTATCTGACCGAGCGAGTTTCCGTAGTGTTCACCTTTACGTGTTGCGGTTGCCGTTTTATATGTGGTTTTAGCTGATAGGGTGTTTGCTTCTACACTCGGGCAGGTGACTTAACACATCTGGCTGTGCATGACAAGTCTGACTGCTCGATGTGTCTTTCCGGCAAAGGAGGTGTGACCTCGCTTTGTAGTCTGTAGCTGTTGTGTACACACTGTGGAGTAAAGCTTAGGTGAGAGTGCTTCGTGGCTAGATGAAATGTAGAACGCTGCTGTTCCGTTGTCGTCCATGTAGGCACGTACACGTACGAAGTGAGTCACATCATGTAGTGCCCAGATGAGGGGATCAAACGCTAGGCAAAACAGGATGACCGAGGTGGCTCTGCCCATCGCGAGTCCCTGATTTACTTCCAGTGGTTGCAAGAAGCGCGCTTGGATTTTGTGTTGTGTACGTCGCCCAAACATGAGGTGGATCACATAGCCTAGAATGCCTAGAACCCATCTGGGGGCTCCTCTGGTCCGCAAACACTCCAACACCCACCAGGGGTTGATGCGTTCAAGCATCCATCGTGCAGGCGCGAATGAGTTTTACTCCCCCCCGAAAGTGTAGTCAAAGTTTGACAAAAGTGAAAAAGGTTTTCACGGCATGTGGAGAGCATGGTCAAAGTTTGATCTGCAGCTTTCGGGCTTGAGCTTTCAAGTGGAGCTTTGCTCCAAAGCTTTTTTCTGGTAGATTTTGCTCCGGGTAGGAGCTCGCAGCTTTTGTAGCTTTTGCTCCTCGTAGGGGCCAGTAGCTTTCGTAGCTAGCTTTTGGCCCTTGTAGTGAGCCACTCAGATCAGTGATCTGTTAGCGACTCGGACCAGTGATCCGACATGGACAGAGTCGGCCGAAGTTTTCGTGCCGAGATTGCAGTTGCACCGTGACCCTGCAGTGCAGGAGTCGCAAACCAGCTTTCATCGTCAGTGACGTTGGAGCCTACACGACAGTGTCGTCTCGTCTTGTCTCCAGTAGTGCTGGAGAACCTTTAGGGTTGTACCCAATCCCCCGCTGGTCCCTTTGGCAGCAGTGCTGCTTCAACTCCTGCGCTCTTGACCCGCGTTGTCAGCGTTCGGGGGTCAGCGGAACAGCAGGGGCAGCGCTCCAGCGTTGTGCTTGCTGGCTATATCGCGAGTCGGCCGAAGTTTTCGTGCCGGGAGTGCAGTTGCACCATGACCCTGCAGTGCGGGCGTGTCACACCAGCTTTCCTCGTCAGTGACGTTGGAACTTATACGACAGTGTCGTCTCGCCTTACCTCCAGTAGTGCTGGTACCCAATCCCCTGCCACTTCCTCCGGCAGCAGTGCTGCTTCAACTCCTGCGCTTCTGACCAGCGTTGTCAGCGTTTTGGAGTCGACGGAGCAACAGGGGCAGCGCTCCAGCACCGTGCCTGCTAGCTCCTTCCCGCGTCGGCCGATGTTTAGAGTGCAGTTGCACCTTGACCCTGCAGTGCGGGAGTCCCAAACCAGCTTTCTTCGTCAGTGATGTTAGAGCTTATACGACACTGTCGTCTCGCCTTGCCTCCGGTAGTACTGGAGAACCTTTAAGGGTGGTACCCAATCCTCTGCCGCTTCCTCCAGTAGCAGTGCCGCTTCAACTCCTGCACTCTCTGGCCACCATTGTCAGAGTTCGGGAGTCGGCGGCGCGGCAGGGGCAGCGCTCCGGCACTTTGCCTGCTGACTATATCCCATGCGAGTCGACTAGTAGTCTGTGCTTCGTAGGCCTTTTTTCCCTAGTAGTGCCGTCCCTTTGCAGCGGTTCCTGCTTGTCGATGCCTGGCAGGTTTCGTTTTCCCCAGTGAGGCTTTTCCCCTCGCAAGCGGCTTCCGCTCTGGTGCTTGTAGCGCCTTTGCAGAGTGTGACGACCTGCTAGGTCTTACCTAGTAGGCCACGGCTGGGTTCACCCACCGTGTCGGCACCATACTCTTCGTAGGAGTTCTCCTAGTAGGAGGGTGCTTGTTCCTCGCAGGGCTTCGTAAGAGTCTAGTAGACCGTGGCTTTGTAAGCCTCCTGTATCTGGCAGGTAGCTAGTACGCTGCCTCCAGCTTTCCTGAGAGTCTTAGGTCTTTAAGTCACACGTGTCGTGTGTTTTCTCAACTCTAGGAGAGTCAGCCCCCCCGTGTCTCTAGACGGAGTGGCGTGGAGACCATGCGACTCGCTGGTTCTTGCTGAGCATTGACCGGCTCTGCCGGCAGTGACAGCCTGACCGTCTCGAGACGTGTCGTTTGATGAAGCCTTGGCAGGTAGTTAGTACGCTGCCTCCAGCTTTCCTGAGAGTCTTAGGTCTTAGGTCTTTAAGTCACACGTGTCGTGTGTTTTCTCAACTGTAGTAGAGTCAGCCCCCCGTGTCTCTAGACGGCGTGGCGTGGAGACCATGCGAGTCGCTGGTTCTTGCTGAGCATTGACTGGCTCTGCCGGCAGTGACAGCCTGACCGTCTCGAGACGTGTCGTTTGATGAAGACCTGGTAGGGCCTGCCTAGTAGGCCACGGCTGGGTTCACCCATCGTGTCTACACCATGCTCTTCGTAGGAGTTCTCCTAGTAGGAGGGTGCCTGTTCCTCGCAGGGCTTCGTAGGAGTCTGGTAGACCGTGGCTTTGTAAGCCTTCTGTTTTCTGGCCTAGTAGGCTCCCCTATTGTGGGGGTCAAGCGCTTGGTAGTCATTCTCAAGCGAGCCTGCCAGCGAGTCGACTTGTATAGTCTGTGCCTCGTAGGCCTTTCCTCCCTAGTAGGGCAGGGCTTCCGCTCTGGTGCTTGTAGCACCTTTGAAGAGTGTGAAGACCTGGCAGGTTCTGCCAAGTAGGCCACGGCTGGGATCACCCACCGTGTCTACACCATGCTCTTCGTAGGAGTTCTCCTAGAAGGAGGGTGCTTGTTCCTCGCAGGGCTTCATAAGAGTCTAGTAGACCGCGGCTTTGTAAGCCTTCTGTTTTCTGGCCTAGTAGGCTCCCCTATTGTGGGGGTCAAGCCCGTGGTGGGCATTCTCGAGAGAGCCTGCCAGCGAGTCGACTAGTAGTCTGTGCCTCGTAGGCTTTGCCTCCCTAGTAGGGCAGGGCTTCCGCTCTCGTGCTTGTAGCGCCTTTGAAGAGTGTGAAGACCTGGTAGGTCTTGCCTAGTAGGCCACGGCTGTGTTGACCGGCCGTGTCGGCACCATAGTCTTCGTAGGAGTTCTCCTAGTAGGAGCGTGCCTGCTCCTTGCAGCGCTTGGTAAGCGTCTAGTAGACCATGGCTTTGTAAGCCTTCCGTTCTTTGCCTAGTAGGCTCCCCTATTGTGAGGGTCAAGCCCTTAGTAGGCCTTCTTGGAAAGAGCCTGCAAGTGAGTCGACTAGTAGTCTGTGCCTCGTAGGCCTTTTCTTCCCTAGTAGGGCAGTCTCTTGGCAAAGTTAGTGCTTTGCTTCCGCTCTGGTACTTGTAGCACCTCTGAAAAGTGTGAGGACCTGGTAGGTCTTGCCTAGTAGGCTGACACTCATGTCAGTGGCAATGTCTGGCTCCAGTCTCCAGGGGCAGTGTCCCTTACTCCGGCCTCGGCGAGTGGACCGCAGCGACAATCCCACGCTTCGCACCAGCAAGAATGTCGGCTGTTGGAGTGGGCAGGGGCGCCAGACGGCAGCTTCCCGGGAAAGTCTCCTGTGAGGTAACC